TTTCGGTAAGGTAATTTATATATATATATATATATATATATATATATATATAGTATACCTGAACATCGTATTAAAGAGATCGACCTTCGAATTTCTTCATCATGAGTTTTCATATGAAATAAAAGTATACACCACGCTGTTGGTTCAAAAAACTAATCGAAACCCGCTTTTCCTTATTAAACTTTACCTGGAGCATTTTCCTAAAGAGCCCGTCTCACACCTTATTTATACAATAGTAAAAATGCCTACTTTAAGGCAACGCTTTAGGATTGTACAAAAAAACATTATTTCTGAAAATGCAAGAAGATCTGCTCACTACTACTCTCTTTAACACTCCGGCTTACCCAACTTCATTGCAATTAGGAGGCCAGAAAAGCACAGATTAAAGAAACGAGCATTGCAAATGAGAGTACGTGCGTTGCTCCAGGAGGCATACTGGGCGTTATAGCCATAAGGGGACTCGAATTCGAGTTCAAGTACGCTTCTTTTTGCTTCCACGTACGGTTGGCTGATAATGCCACGATAGAGGCTCATTTTAAGCTGAAAAGAAGAATTAAAAATTGACGGAATGATGAAAGAACTTATTTCTGAAAATTCAAAGCTGCTGTCTCAGAGAGCACCTTTAAAAAATTTGCTTACAAATATCACAAAAGGTAGATAGCCCAGGAATTTTCCCACAATGCTATGAATAGGCCTGCTGTTTCCACCGAATTGCACATAGCCTTGCTTCCCAAAAGGTATTCTCAAATTCGCCACAGAAATGTGATATTGAAAAGTCCTGGACTTTCTTTAAATTCACTCCTGTGATGCGATTCAATGTTACTTGTGTTCAAAGTATACACTACACTATTACAATCCAGGTTCGAGTCCCGATGGGGTTACTGATGATACCTAGGCAAAATTAAATCTGCAGTCTAGTCCAGCCTGGATAAGAATATCTTTCGGGAAACAGGACTATGTGAAATCCCATGGAAACTTGAGGCCTACTCACATAATTATGGAAAAATTTAACTTCTGGTCCTTTCTTACCATAAAAGGAATAAAGAGGAATACACCTTTTATATAAGATTTACTGGTAGTCCAAAAACCGACTTTTAAAATGAAAAATCAAGTAATATTAGGTTGTTATATTTTGAATAGGGTAACTTTCATTAGATAAATAGGAATTAGAACTTATTCACCCCAATTCGCTTTAGGTGAATTAAAAACTGATAGCTGAGTTTTTTCCCCATGAGATTAGTAGGCCCCACAATTTTATTATATTTCCCCTTGCTTAGTCTCCCCAAAGCTAATCTAATCAAAGAAACCTAAGTTTCTATTTAGGAATTACTAATAGTCCAAAGAGCTAT